TTTTACACTTTGCCCTCCTTTCTCTGGTCTCTTGCTATTTATTAATAATATCCTTCTTTATCCTTTTTATTTTAATTCAACAAAATTTTTGTCTTCTTCTTTCTTTGAATGGTTGCATTTTTATGCTTTCTTCTTTTTATCTGGCTTGTATTTCTTTTTTTTTTACTATTCTTCTTTTGAGCTCTGATTTTATTTTTTTCTTATTACAAGGTTTTTAGGTCATTCATGTGAACGTTTATTACGTGTTTGTGATAAGTAAAAATATTTATCATAAAACTTTAAATTATACATACTCTTACATTCTTTTATACATATACACACATAAACATAAATGAGTTAAAAAAAAAATGAGAAAGATTATTGTATCTTGTACGTAAGTTGAAGTGCACGTATACATCAGTTCTGCGATAGTATAATGTGAAGATTAATTTTTAGCAGGATTAACTATGTTTTGATAATTCATAATCTATAATGGTCTTATAGCAATTTAATCTGCATATAATTACAATAAAACAGGTGTTAGAGTACAAGATTCAAAAATTTGCATTTAATTTTGTCTACACAACAAAATGGGATTCTATTTCAGTGGGAAACTATTTGAATATCAAAAAAAATTAACCAATGATTAGTCAAAAATCCCCTGATATTTTCAAATTATCGAAATATGAAATATAAATCTAAATACCAAAACGTAGGGCGCCATTGAAAACACTGGCAGTAACAGAAATTTTTAATATTAAATAAACAACATTTCTAGCGCCAAACTCTCTAAGAGTTATACAAATTAATAATTTGCTCAGAACTTCAAACAAAAATTTTAAAAATATATTGCATATAAGATCACACACACACACACATAGAATCACGTTATAAGAAAAAAAAAACAAAATTTCGAGACAAAAACAAAATAAATTAAAATGGATATAAAGTTTGAATCCTTGACAAGAATACATAAAAACAACAGCAAAACAAAATAACAAAAAAAAAAAAATAAAAAAATACAACACCTCTTGACAATTGAATGTATGTAATTCACATAGCATTAATAAATATGAAGGGCGGCAAGGATACATGGAACAAGTGTATGTGGAAAACATTGGGTGTATAAAAATAACAAAAGATTTTCTTCTGTTTCTGTTTTTCTTTAACTTCTTAAGTATTTGGGTCACAAAAGAACATTATAATGATGACTTAGTGTTGCCCTTTAAATTACAGCTGTTTTTATGTTTCATTTATTTTTTCATCTTTAATTTTTTCATTCTCTTATTATTGTTTTCTTCTTTTTTTCTACTTCTTCTTATAACAATGCTTAAGTACTATGTCTTCTCTTTAAATCTTTAATATTTACAGGTAATTTTATTAGTTGAAAATGGAAACAAGAAAAAAATCTTTTAAAAGTGTAAATGAGCAAAGATGAAAAAAAATTAATCTTTAATAAATTTTGCGATTTTAATCACATCACATCAAGTACAATACATATACAAAGATAATTGAAGAAGAAAAAAAAAATTAAGTAATTTAAGGAAATATGCGTAATTATGTTTCCCTTACACTCTCATACACGTACACATTTTATTAAATTAAAATGAATTTTTGTTGTGAACGGTATACAGTGCCATTTCGAAAAATTATTACCTTCCATTTTGAATTTCTTTTGTTTTTCTTTTTTAAATTTGTCATTTAATTATGATAATGAAAAGAATAAATAAAATATGAATAAAAAGGAAATGTTTAAATAAATTAAAACATATAGACGAGATATAAGTGTATAATATTCAAAAAAAAATATCGTTTCGATGATAAAAAAATTATCCTTTAGAAAATAATTAAAATTTAATGAAAAGTTTCTTATTATGCGAGTGCCAAAATATTATAAATGGAATATGAAAGAGTAAATTTGAGTATAAGAATGGTAAAGAAATGTCAAAATTTGAGGCTCAAAAAAGTGGCTTGAGCAATTTAAAATTAAGGTTAATAGTTCAATATATTAAGTATTTTGATGTCGGAGTTTTGGCGTCTCATGGTAATGTGAAACTTGTTCCTCTACTCTTACTACGTATAAAAATGTTATAGATCTATAATGCAAAATTCAGAAGTTACTAAATTAATAAAAGTTATTAATAAAGTAAAAAAAATATTTAATTTCATTAATGCGACTGTAGTAGAAAACAAGTCTTACATCAGTTCATTCACTTTCTTTTTTTCTTTTTTTTTAATACAGGTGCTTAAAATCATCGAAAGACAAAGATAGGCGGAACCAATCTATCATAAAACGCACCTGGACGGTCATAAACTCCTAAAACTGGTAAAACTGACCAACCATTAGCTATGCTCTGTCGTATTTTTGTGTCAATTTTCCGTGAAGGAAGACACAGAAGTGCTTTTAGCTTAATTCGAGAGGTCTCGCTCGCTTCAGTCTTTTTGTTCAAACCCTTCCTTATCTTCTAACTTACTTGGGGGCACTCAAATCCCTATGAATATCACTATTGCGTATATACTTAGGAGCACCCACCATAATACGAAGGACACTGTTCTAGAAAGGTTATATATCAACACCTTATTGTACGTTGTCAATCCAGACCCACAACCTAGGAGCCAATCATTTTCTCTACATTTGTTTTCTACTTTTATTTATTTTTCTTCTTTATATATGTTATTTCCATCTGATATTGACATCCAAAGTCATACTTAGGTATTTTGCTGTGTTTTGGATTGATACTTTAGCACCATTCAAACTCAATTGTTGCGGTTAATTAGTGAACCAAATTTTTGTTTGTGAAATTCACATGTACAGATTTACTTTTATTTAATCTTATTTTCGATTCATTCAGAGTTCATTGAATAACTAACAATAGTTCTTAAAATATAATGAATATCATTTTTGAGACTCAATAACATTTAGAAGCAAAATTTAAAAAAAGGAAATTATTGCCTATTGTTTTTTAACTCTTGTTCGATCTTGGTTTCAATCAGTTTCTACTACTCGCTTCGAATATATACTATTGAAGTACACTCAATTCTCAAACTATCTGCGAATATGTTAGTCAAAAATTTTAAAATTTATTTATGCATTGATTTTTAATAATTGAAATCAATCACCTTAAAATTTTATCTAAAATAACTTATAAAAGGTGCCAATCTGAATTACAATAAGTATGAACACCTTTTAAATAATATTCATAAGTGTTCATACCGATTTATAACGAAATTGTAATTATACATATATTTTCGAAAATTGAATTTTAAATATGAATAAATTATACACATCAAATGATTCCACATTTATGTATATTTTCTACATCTTTCTTCTTAATATCATACAGAAAACCAATTATAATGAAATTTTCTGATAACCTTTAAATTTTCACAAAAAAATATTACCTTATTTTTAATCATTATCAATGGTCCTCTTATCATAAAATTTACAAGAATATCAATTTCATTTTAATATAAGAAAATTGTATTGGTGAAATACCGAAAAAAAGGGTCTACATAAATTTTTTCCTTTTTCTTATTTCCTTGAAGCGAAAAATCCTTCAAGAAATAAAATTAATGAAAATGACATATTCGGGTTCTATACACATAAACATATACATACACCTACATACAAAAAAATATTAAACCTATCCACAAATAATGAAATTCTATTATGAAAATGAAAAATTTGATTCTTTTGGACACGCAAACTTTTGTAAAAATTAAAATACAGACAAAAAAAAAACTTTTTTCTTTTTGTTCTTGAATTCAAATTACTTCAATCTTTCTAAAATTCTAAATGGTTCGCGTTACAGTGAAAAATGAAAAAAAAACCTTTTGCCATTTCGAATATTTCGAGAAATTGTGAATGATATTGTCATTCAAAAGGAAAAAAAATAACCTTAACCTTTACTCGTTTCCATGATTTTCTTTTGTCACTTTGAAAAATTTCTAAAAATTATGTCAAAAATTAAGTATGGCCACCATCTAGGTGTAATGAATAAAGGTTTGTTTCCAGTATGAAAGATGAAAATCTTGAAATTTTTATCTTGAATTCTCTAAAGTTATCAAATGTTTAAGTTTCACTTTTAGAGTATCTTCTAAAAAAGACTTCCATGAAACCATTTTTGGGTAATATTAAAAGTATAACAACTTTCTTTGCAAATGTAGTAAAACTTATTGCATTCATTTATTTCAAAAATTATATTTTCTTTTCATCATTATTTTAAGACTCTTCTCAATTTAAGTCCAGTTTATTATTCTAATTTCGCAAATCCAAAGGAATTTTTATACCTGTACAAAAGTATGTTCAAAGAATATACTAAATTTGCCATACCCTTTGTAACGCTAAAAAATAATGATTTGAGGTATAGACTCAAGTATACGTTTTTGACCATAGCGTCGAATTCTGAGCCGATTTACCTTTATCTGTTTGTCTGTTCGCCCGTCCCAACGATATCTCAAAAAATAATTGAACTAAGTTTACCAAATTTTCACAAATGATTTATTATAGTAAATGCAAGAATCGTATTTAAATTGGTTATGATACTAAAGGTACTGTTTTGGGTGCCTGCCATACAACTTTCAAATTTATTTGGTTATATCTCAGAAACTATAAAAGCTGTGGTGTTAAATTTTCGCACAAGCGAATATTATATTAGTAGGACCAATGTGTTTGATAAAAGTCGTTGAAATTACTTAGCTCCTTATGGTAGCTGCCATACAACTTCAACAATATTTTAGGCATATCTTAATTAAATGATTTGAAACACAGTACTGAAATTTTGCATAAATTAATATGGTAATATGGCAACTGAAAGTCATAGTCAGCTATGACATATTTACTTGTACATAGGATAACAAATTCGTGTGGGTATCATAGAGCTGAAACGATCAACTCTATTTTTTCTCGTTTTAATTTAAAATTTTTCTTTTTCTTAAAATATCCTTTTCATGTTTTGAATTTTGTCAATTATTTTATTATTATTTATTTAAATAAATCTATTATTTTGTATTATTTTTAGGCTAAAAAAATGTGGCATCAAATGTCTGATGAACAAAAGAAAACTTATGGCGATGACTATTATGAAGCTGCAATGACTTCCGTTGAAAAATCATATCGTGTTGTAAGTTATTGCACAATATAAGTAATACATTAAAATTTGAATTAAAAATAAATTTTCAATATAACTATTAACTGCTTACACCATATTTTGCAAAAGTAACCTATAAATAAGTGTTGTATAGAAAACCAGTACATTACTTACGTTCCATACAGTATATTGACTGGTTAAATGGTTACAACTTATTATTTGCAGGTTATTTTGCTACAAAAATCACTTAATTCTCTTTTAGATTCATTTAATTTTTTTTCCTAAACTTTAAAACTAAAACACTTCATTTATGTCAAATTTTTTTTTTTTAAATATAATTTTTTAAAATGTATTCTTTAATGTAATTTTTAATTTATATATATTATTTATTTTCTTATATAAAGTTTGCTGATATTCAACCAGCAATTCGTGTTGCAATTGATGCTGTTTCACGTACTTTCCCAATGGCACGTTATACACCAGTTACTGTACCAGAAAGGATTCAAATGTTTATTGCTGAACATTTACCATCCTCTGTATATGAGATCATTTTTCAACGTAAATAAATAAATTTTTTGAAATTAACATAATATTTTTTTTTTTAAATATGAATCAATATAATAACAACAGTAATACAACAAGATTCAATTATTATTATTACTGTAATATTCATTATTATTTAAATAACATCATAATAATTTCAATTAAATATTATGCAACAACAATGAAAATAATTCTCCATAATTACTGAAAAAAAAAAAATCTAAATCAAAAAAAAAAAAAAAAATACTACAATATAACAATAAAATATAATGTTATATAATATATAAGTATATAAGTATTTATTATTAAGTTATTAAGATAATTTTTAAGCAGCGAAAAAAACATCAAAGGGAAAATATATTTTGGCTTTTTCTCTTTTTTTATAAAATACACAGAAAGTTACACACACAAACAACATCAATTTATAAAAATTATATATAATATCCTTTAAGGATAATTTTTTTTTTAGGATTTAAGAAAAAATGAAAAAAAAAAAAATATATATATTAAAATCTTAATCTCTTTGTTTTTTAATAACTTTGTTTTTTTTTTTTTAAATAATTATTTTTGTTTTTGTTAAATTAAAATAATTTTGAAAAAATTTTTTTCAAATAAATTTTAAGTAAAAATTTTTAGCGTTAAAAAAAATCTCACACACAGATTCATCCTTTTTTGTTATGTTAAATTTTTGTTTTTTTCGTGTTTTTCCTCATCACGGTAAATTTTGTCTCACTTAAAAATTTTAAGTTTCCTAGTCCTTCATAATTTTATGTGAATCTCCTTGCATTTTATATTTTAAATTGAATGTTTAAAAATATTTCGAAAAATAAGTACGAATAATTTTTATAAATTTTTTAAAATTTTTAAATTTTTTAATTATTTATGAAAAAAGTTTTAAATATATTTTGTAATAGATGGCATTTTTAAATATTAAATTATTTATTTTATACATTTCATTCAAATTTACTATAAATATTTACTATTTTACAGTTATATACAATTTTTTTTTATATATATACAAAGCTTTCTATATTTTATGCTATAACTATTTTTATCATTTGGTTTTTTTTTTTTTTGTGAAACAATTTTTACAATGATTTCAAATAAAATGAAAAAAAAAATATGTTTAAGAAACAAAAATTTATTTATAAAAAAAAAATTAAAAAATTATTTTAAATTAATTATTTTGTAAATTATTTTTAATTTTTGTTTAATGAACTTAAAAACAAAATTTTTTTTTTTTTGGAGTGACTCAAATAAAACTGGTAATCGAAATACAAAAATTATTAAATGTGTTTTTTTTTTTTTAATTTTTGTTATTTTTAATAATATTTTAATAATTGTATATGCAGGTATATTACAACAGGAAGTTTATGTATTATAACCGAATATTATTCAACTGGTCTGATAGAATTGAACTTTGATTTTCTAATGGTAATGATTCCAAAGCTTATCAACATTAGACTTTTAAAAATGCCCCAATTAGTTCGGCAATATTTGTAATGATATTATGTTATATAGAGTGCCAAATCTCAATAACAACACTATTATTGCGGCCAGTATCCAATATAGACTGTCGTCAGAATAGCATTGTCTCGAGCAAGATCTCGCCATAAGTCCATTCGATTTGGTAAGGTTGTATTTTGGCTACATTTTTCTTGCCGTCCCGAATATGGACATGTTTCCCAATGTAATGTAAAGGTACATTTTCTGAGGCAATGCTTGTAAGGTTGCCGTGCTGGGTTCTGTGACAAACATTGTAGACATCTTTGGCCATCTTTCTGGGACTCGTTAAATCTTCACTCTACCACGGAGAATAAGTTTTCATGGAGTATTTTAGAAGGCAGGAGGCTCTTTTAAAATACATCCATGGCTCATATTCATGACCTTTTCAAACCTGTTTACTTGAATCCTCAACTCCTCGACACCGTGAATATTGTTCTTAATATTAGGTATGGTTCTAAGATTTTCTCACAAGATTTCTCTAAATTTAACCCAATTCGTTCTTCTTAGATTTCTATATGTGATGAGATAGATAAGACACTCTGGAGTTCTCAACTAAACAGCTCTTTATTTTAAGTGTTATATATCTAGGGCATCTTCCCAGCCAAAAAAGCTGTTTATATTCGAAAAAATAAAAGTGAGAGTGTTGTCCCTATTTGATACTTCTTACTGTTTAAGATAAAATCATATAAGAACTCATATCTTTCCTTTGTCTCCGGGCTCGCTCAAAGAGTGTTATTTGCCTCACAATGATCAAATTTGACTAGGTTAGTGCGACCGCCGGCACCATTTCATCGACGTCAGAAGGTGAGGTTACCACAGTCAAATCCACGATGCTGAAATAATAGCACAGAAATGATTTTATGTGTCTTTTAATTAATGTACAGGATCTAAGCTTCTTACTTCTCTCGTTTTACTAGCCTACGGAATAGGTTATATTTTGGGGTGCTAAGTGTATTGATCCTATTACTGTACACTCATGGAATCCGGAATCACAGAGCGATGTCGACGTCTCGCTCATCTAGAAAGAATATCAGGTTATCCCAGACGCATCTCGAGTACTTGAGATTAAACCGGATTACCGTCATTTTCAATATCAGTACTACTACATTATATTTTTGTATGTTTAAAAAATTTATTCAACAGATGATGCCTGAGTGGGTGACAAAATTAATTTTTCTTCTGTATGGATGACAATTCGGTAATTATAAAATTATATTAAAAAAATAAAACAAGAATATTTGAAATTTATTTGAAATTTTATTCGGTTTTTTGGTTTAGTGATTTTTTTTTTTTTTGTTTTTTTTTTCATACTTAAATTTTTTATTTATTTTCTTTCATTTTTGAAGAAGTTTTTAATCTTTCACAAAATTTTTTCTTACAAACATTTTTATTTGTTTTTTTTTTTTTCTTGTATTATTAAATTTTCATGCTTCCTTATTAATTTGTTTATTAGTGATATTTTTGTTTTTACTATTTTAGTGTTTCTGAAATGCAAATAAAAGTGCGATTATTTTTGTTCTTCTTTTATTTTTTATATAATTTGCAAATATTTTATTAAATAATTTTTAATGATTAATAATAATAATTACAATTTATTAATTTTTAATTGCTTGTAATAAATAAAAAAATATATTTTCATTTCATATAAATATACTTGTATTATTATACATTATTCATATTGTATAACTAATATTTTATTACTATTTAAGAGAAAAATAATTTATAATTTAATTTTTCGTTTCGGTAAAAATAAATTCGGAATTTAAAATAGTAATACATATAAAAGCTATTCTTAAATGAAAAAACGGCACGCAATTATGTAGAAAAATATTATTGATTTTGATATTTTATGTAAAATGTAAATTTATACAAAATGATGTTATCGTACACGGCTTAATTTCTGGATGTCGCAGTGAATAAACACTTAAAATTTTTCATATTTCAAGTCTGTACGTGCAATTATATTTTATGATTAATAACATAAACATAGATGTAAACTACTTTTGAGAAATGTAGAATACTAGCTGAATATAAAACTATTATTTAATTTATGATTTTTAAGAAATTTACTTGAAATTTACTCATAAGTGACCAATCCACTTCGATAATAATTATTTATTTATTTATTGAATCTAATATTTTTGAATATTTTTATTAAAATGCAAATTCATATATGACATTTTTCTTAACACTTGATTCAAACCATATTCATATATAATTAAATATTATGCTTTAAATTTGCGATTAAATTTAAAATTACATTAATTAACATAATAATATTAAAAGGCAGTTAAAATATCTTAACATTATAATTAAAAATTTAATATTACATTAAAATTAAAAGTTTATTCCATAGCAGTAAAAAAAAAGCAATATTTTTCTATATTTTTCTTTGTTTAAATTAGAATTTTATAATTAAATATTTTTAATATTAGTAGTATTTTGGTAGGAAAAAAAATTAACATACAATAAAAAAAATATGTAAAATATTTATTTAATCACAACTTTTAATAGTTTTTATAATATTTCATAATATACAATATTATAAATTTATACCAAAGTAAATAATTTTTCATTTCATCTTCATAATTAATAATAGTAAACTAATTTATTATTATGTATTTAATATTATTTTGTTATACTACTTTTTTACACATAAAACCTTATACAAGTGATATAATATTATAATTTAATTATCAATAAAATTGTCATTTAATATTCTTAATTCATTTGAATGATGATTTTTCATCGATAAAATCAAAAAAATATTTTATTTGTAATAATTATAATTACGACAAAATTAAATACTTAAAATATAATTAAAATTTATTACATTTATTTATAGTACGTTAATCTATATTACAATATATTATTTATATTTTATTATGGCTATTTAAAATTTTATTTCTTAATGCATATGAATTAATTTCCTATATTTAAAATTACTGTCAAATTTAACAATAGATATTCGGACAGATCTTAAAATAAATATGAAATGTCAAAAAATTACTGTAACGTTCGAAAATAAAATGTTGCCGTTGCGATTTTTTTTTTGTTTTTCTAAAATAATAAAAACTACCTAAAAATTTGAAATTTTTCATTTGTGAAAATTTCGAAGTTTATTTTTGTTTACGAAATTTAAACGAAGGCATTATCATTTGAATATTATGAATTATGATTATAAAATGAATAAAATAAATTATTCTCAAAGCACTTAATAATAAATTCTCTTAATTGAGAAACGTTCTTATAAAAATAATACAAATGGACGAAATTTTTTTTTCGTAACTTAATAAATTATTTCGTTTCATAATAACTTATAATTACTGTTGTCTGTTATATGCGCGTATTATATAAAAGAATGTATGAACTTTAAAAATTTTATCGATATTATAATTATTAGTTATTATATATATATATATCGCTTTTATCATAATAATTTTGAAATAATTTTGGCAGCGGTTTTGGCATTTAAAAAATATTCATTTTAACTAAATGAATTTCGAATTGTTTTTATACTAATATTTGAATTTTCTCTCAAATATAGGTTAATGTTCAATAAGCGTTTATTTTTAATCTCACAATATTCTTAAATTGATACCCATAACGTGGGCGTCATTCCGAGAATTCTCCTACACACCTAATGATAGCAGTAATGATAATGTAGCAGTGGTCTTATTCTACAGCAAACAGTTACATATATATTTGAAAAGCCGTAGGCAGAAAACGATGATACGATATAAATGCTAACGGTTTCATGTAAGTCATATAAATTTTATTATACATTTCTTTATATTCTATCTTTCAATTTTAATTGAATTCGATAGGATTTAATTTGATCTATTATATTACTTTGGTTGTACTATATTCAAACGAAAGCGACGACAAAATGCAGGCGATTGTTCAAAAAAAAAAATTTGTTGCAATCGATCAACCATACTGGAATCAAATTATAATTTTATACAATTTTAGATTTTAATCACATATACAATACCAATAATAAATGAATATTGTTACTTTAATTATGCGATTTAATTTCGATCCGTTTTACATTCGATACACTGATGTGCGAAATTTGAATAGAGTATGCCGAATGCCAGATCCATTGATTTTAATATTATAATTCTTATATTTAATTAAATTAATTAAAATTAATGTATTATTATATTTTCTTTTTTATATTTTCAGATTTTTTCAATAATATTATATATTTTATATTTCGGAATTTAGGCAGCTATTAGATCTACGATTTTTTTTTTTTTATTTTTATCGATATTTTCGATTTTTTATTTCGATATTATTATTTTATAAAATAAAATATAATTATAATTTTGTCGTAATTTATAATGTATACAAATAGAAATATATGTACGTATATGTATATAGGGTTAAATATGTATCATAGGGAATACAATGTAAATAGGTATAGTAAGTATGAAAGTGAGGTTAGTATTATAGTTTTTTGTTTTTGTTAATAAGGAATTATTTTGAGGTCTTTTTTAATATTTTTGGTTTTATTTTTCGGGTTATACATTGTGTGTATGTTGTATATAATTAGATTAGGTATAATATGGGTTACAAAAATTTTTTATTTTCCTTTATTTTTTGTTTTTTTTTTTGTGTTAATTTCATATTGTATAATATGTATTAATTTTAGTAATAATTTGTAAAATTTTTTAATCAATTATTTTCTTGAATTATTTATAATGATTTGAGATTATTATTTGTTTATTTTTTTTTTAAATATTTTATTTATATTATGAGAATTTTTAATCAAATTTATTTTTAAATTTTTTTCATTACAAATTTTTTATACAATATAATAAATGTGTTTAATTTGTTGATAAAATTGATTAAAACTTAAGAAAAATTACTATATAAGTATTTTTGTTATTGATAAATGAAAATTTAATTCCATAATTTTATTTTTGTTTTCTTAATCAAACATAAATTCTTCATTTTTTTCAATTCATCATAATTACATTTTGTTTTTTGATTTCTATTAACACTCAGTCTTAAATTTTATACAATTTCTTTTAATAATGTTTTTCGTTTTTTTTTTCCTACTTTGAAAAAATAATTAAATTTTTAAATTTTATTTTATTCTTTTTGCTTTATTGTAATTGTTTTTTTTTTAATATTTTATGTTATTTTAATTTATGATTATCTGTGTTTTTTTTTTTGTTTTTTTTTTTTTTTTATAATTTCTTTCCAAAAATAAATTATTTTAAGCACAAAACAGACTATCAAAACGTAATTTGTTAATTTTCATAATTAAAAAAATTTCATTTTTAAAATATTATTCTATTAAATGTTATGAAACATCACTATTTTACTATACATAAATTTTGGGCTTTATAATATTATATAATTATTATATTGTTCTAACCCTTTCAAAATTTTTTAATCATTCAACCTACTATGTATATTAATTTTTATTGCAAAACTTTTGAACTATAACAGCTGTTTTATATAACATTTTATGTAAATGAAAATTAGCAAATAAAAATGTAAAATTAGCGAAATAAAAAATCAAATAAAATATTAAATCATTTTAGCCTATACACACATATGCACATATATAGAACACAATTATCATAATATCAAAAAAATTAACGAAAAAATAGTTACCATTAATATAGATTGTTTAATGGATTTAAGTGAATTTTAAAAATTTAGATTTGAATTCATTTTCTGACAATAAATAAGGAGAGATAAGCTAATATAACATATATAATAAAGAGTTATAATAATAACTCTTTATGGAATTATTCTCGGAATTGTCAATTCACGTAAATATTGTAAGACGAAAATATTTTCTTTTAGCGAAAATTTTAAATTTACCGAAATATGTATGTATATACTTCGAATGTAGTTTTAATTCGTCACTTTTTATTTTGCGTGTATTTTGCGTGCTTCTCAACTTCTATTTAATTGACAAATTATTTTTAAAATTATTATTGTAAAATTTTCGCTTACTTGTGCAAATTAGTTTTTCTTTAAATCAATTAATTATTACTTAATAATTCAGAAAATATTTTAATAGTATTAAAATAGTATTAATGTGCAACCATCAACCTTAGCATTTTACAAGTTAAAACTATTATATTCATTGTTAACTTCCGTATTATTCTAAATTTAATTCATAATTTTTTTTTCCTCTGTTTTTATTCCTTGTTATTATACATTATATTTATAACACATTTACATGTATGCAATTTTGTATTTTTTTTTTTTATTTATTTATTTTTATTTATTTATAAATTATTATAAACCTTCGTTAAAATTATTTTTAAATAATAATTCTGTATTATCAACTCTTTTTAATCTACTTTAAATTACCGACAGTATTTTTCCATTTAATTTAATTATTTCGACATAATAATAATAATAATAATGTTATATTTGATTTATGGGTAATATTATATAATATTTAACTAATTATTCGAATAATATATAAAAATAATTATTATAAAATAGATATTTTTCGTGACAAAATCACAAATTTTTGGCAGTTTTTATTTAACATTATAGTAATATTAGAGTATGAATATTTTTAATGAATGATGTTCTGCAACTAAAACAAAACGTTAATTATGACAGAAATAAAAATATAAAATATATGTATATACGTACATAATAATATATAATTCGATTATTCGTCTAACCTATTACATTTAATAAAAGCAAATTAATATCATATCGAAAAAAATTATAGTGTATCATACGAGTAATAATATTATGGACTCAAACCGAAATTCATTTAAATATTAGTAATAAGCATATAAGCTGAGTGATATAAATTTTTTGAGTGATACCAAATTTTTTGTGTCAGTAAGCGAATCATTAAGTATAACGTAATAATGATATTAATAAATTGATTCTCACTTTTATTGTAAGTTTCACTGGTAGCACTGAAATTCGGAGAAATTACGAATTTCATATAGTAAATTCCGTAGTAGTAGAATTGGATACCGAAATTCGTAATAGAGTAATTATTAATCACACTCGTATTTAAAAAAAAATATATGTCAAAATTCTACTAATGGAATTTTTAAACGAAGATAGCCAGTATTCAAGAGTGGTCGGTTAATTTTTTTTTTAAGTTTTAATTTATTTGTTAAATTTTTATTATGTAAAAAAAGGAAAATTCAAATATAGAGTAGTATTTTAATTTAAATATTGACACTTGATAGCTTAATTTTTGGTCACAACGAAATTGACAACGATTTTGACACTCCGAAAAATAATGTTGCCATAGCAGATTTATAATATTAACGAGTGAGATTTTCAATTACTCAAAAATCTACGTAAGTAACATAGTTTGAAAATCGTAGAATTCTACGAGTGAGATTTAAAATAAGGGTCTCAATTTTATTAGAGCGGCAGTTTTGATTTAAATATCTTTCTTTTTTGTCTTTTGACATTTTGAATCTTTTATGAAATATAACGAGTGATTCTTTTTTCTTTGTGAATATTTCATCAGAATCACATTATTAATTTATTATTATAACTTAAATATTCACGTTGGTACGATTTGGATTTTGGTGGAATATTAAAAATGGCAGTTTTTTGTAATAAAATATTAAATTTTTTTTTGACCTGTCGGTAATTATTTAAGTATTTGTATAAGATTAAAATGTTTTTTTTAGCATGAAATACTTACAGAATTATTATTTATACCAAATTTTACAAATTTTTGAATTATTTTAATTAATTTGTAATTATATTCGATTTAATTGATTAATTTTTTTTTATTAATAAAAATACAAATACAATGCTATTTGTTTACTTATTATTTTCATTAAAAAGTACTGAATTTTATTTTTCTTGTTAAAATGTACAATTTATTTAAAAAAGAAAATCTTTGCATTTTAGGCAAAAATAAAGTGCCAATTTTTTAATTTCTATATGCTTTTCATTTAAGCATTTTGAATAAAATTTCAAAATAGCTATTTTTTATTTTAAATTTTTTTTACAATTTAAATATGAGAATTTGAAAATTTTAAAATTTAAAATGCATCTTCCATTCTTTTTTATATTGCAAATCTAATATTCTTTTATATCGATTCTCGATATAAAGAAAAATTTGCGATGCTTTACAATCGATTTTAATTGGCTACTAATTATTACAAAAACGATTTATTCAGAAAATTCAATGTACTTATTATTGCTATTCAGCATTTTTTACAGAAAGGTTACAAGAGTTTTATGAAAATAAATTAAATTAAGTGAAATTGTTTATATTTCATTGAAATAATTTTAAACTTAAAATTAATAGAATTAGAATAAACAGTTTTACATAATTAAACGAAAATTTTTAACCAAAATTTAATAAATTTAGATTTTTTAATTGACATGTCCATATATACGAGTATTTAGCGTAGCACTATCATCAATACTTTTATATGAATGTATATAAGTATTTTACATTCTATTATTGGAACAACATTTCAATTATAAATTACATAATAATATTATTACCTGATATATTAAATAACATTCTCTAATGTACATAATTACTTATATATAAACTAAGTTAAGTGACATGTCAATTTTATTTTGAGTATATGAAAGTTTTTAAGTTGTAGAATATTTACCGTAATAATACTTAATAATAATTTTGGATGTGAGTATGTGACATAAATGACAGAAGTTCCTGTAATAGAAAAAATGAAATTTTTATTAGTTCTTTCTTATTTTTTTATACAAAAAATTTTATTGACTAAAAAATTTAATGTTATTCTAGGGGCTGCCTTTTAAACATCAGGTTAAATTTTATATTAAACATAAACTTGATGGGTATCTGATGTGTAATTGAAATCTGATATAATAATTAAATCTCATAGAAAAATTAGGTCCCATCACTACCCGATCATCATCTGATTTTCTCTATCAAGTTTTTAAAAACAATTTTTTTCATTCTGCGGCGATCAACTCAGTTTTCATAACTCAGAATTCAATATTTAAAATTTTATACATATTTTTTACTATATTTTTGGATTATAATATGTTCCTATGCTTATGCTTTTATTAATATAAGTAATTGACTTTTCGTAATCAAAAAAAAATTATCGAGATTTATCAAAACGCACGATTTTCTATTCTTATAGAAATTGACAGGAGCAAAAATGAATTGATGACAGGAGCAACTCTTGTGAATTCTGTATACAAAAAATCATTATTGTAATGGAACGTTCTAGTTTTTGTTGATAGTATACCGGTTATTAATTAACTACTGATATTGATGATAAAGTTATATGCAAAGTGAACTTTAACAAAACTTTAAAATGCAACTTGCCTCCAAACTTATAAAGATATAGTGACTCTTGGTTATTAGAAACTATTAATCGATTATATTTTGGAGATTTAAAACTTCTGGAAAACATTAAATGCAATTTACCATTAAACTATAAAAATTTGAGAAATTTTTGTACAAAACATTCATAATTATATTAATAATTTTATTAAACCTCAAATAAATTGCAAAATAATAATTTATTATAGTATGTTGGTCTACAAAATATAATGAAAAATTTTTATAATCTATACAAAATTTAAAAGGTGTTATTTTTTTTAAATTTTATTCTGATTTATTTTTTTCCTGGACCACAACGTAATTCACAATTTCAATGAATAATTCACAATTCACATATACATACATAAACATAAGCTACACATATTAAAAAGCTATCAAACCAAAATACTAAGTTGAATTAAATTTTTTTTTAATTATACAATAATATTAATGATTACTGCTTTTTAATTACCTACATATATGTGGCACATTTAAAATAAATAATAATACTAAATATGGTTAAAAAAATTTTAATATTTAAATAATTAGTAGAATTAAATAGGTTTATGTACTAAAGTGAAATTGTTCTAGTCTTTTGTATTGTTAATAAAATTTTAAATTTTAGCACTTTTCCAATAAAAATTGAAAAGACGTGGTTATTAGTTTTACTAAGTCCGTCCATAGTGTCCGCTTATAAAATTTCTACACTCGTGAAAATAGAAAGCTGAAATTTCACACGTACATAGAATACATAGTCATCTTTACTATAGAAATTTATTTCCGCAGATGAAAGTTTGTACATATTTTACTCCCCATCCCCACCCCCACCCCATCAACAGATATAATTTTTTTTTAACTCATACTCATACATTATTTTAATGAAGAAATATTATAAGCTGCTTATGTTTAATATACATAATTAATTATTATTAGCAAACAAAAATTTAAGACACATACTTAAGTTCTAAAAACACGCAAATATTATGTTAACCCAAAAAATTAATTGTAAAGAAACAATAGAAAGTCTATACTATAATTAATCTTTAATATAGAAATTATATTTAATATCAAATGTTTATTTTTATCATTGATTTTTTATAGAAATTTTCGCACTTAATTAATTTAAAATATTGCATAATTAATAGGCGTATAAAATATTATAATAATACTGGTACTGTTATTATAATAATAAAGTTGATAAATATAGGTAAATATTATTTTAATTTTAAAATATCATGCAGGGACCCAATAATAATTTTATTTTCATTGGATATATTATGTGTTTACTTTATCGATAAAACAAAATAAACATGACCTTTAGAATAACATAATCACATAAGGAAAAATACACAGAAGTACAGAAACACACAGAGTGTATACAGAAAGCGATGGTTAATTCGCTAAAAAGAACATAAATTATAAGCGTAAACCTTTTCTTTTTGTCACACACTCTATTAAAGTTAATTGTGTCTTAAAGTTGGTTAGATTATTTCTTAAAACTTGAGAGATAAAATGACTTTTAAAAGAAACTTTACAGATAGTAATTGAGAACAAAAGCTTTTTTCCAAATTACACGTTAGAAAATCTATTATAGTATATACATAGTTAAGTGAATTGAAAACCGATAGCCTCATCTTAATTTCTACTTCAAATATTTCGCGATAATTTTTTTTTCGGCCGAAACCATGCTATCATACTCTGCCTTGGACAGTCTTGCACATCCAGTACATAAATATCTACGCATACATAATAATAATAGAAGAAATAATAATAGAACAATATGTATACTCCAATACAATATAATTTTTTTCATAATTATTAGTTTTAAATTAATAAATTAATTTAAAAATAACACTTATTAAAAAAGAAAATATTGTGATATTGAAAATTTTTTTCGCATAGTTAACAATATGTAAAAAAATTCAGTATGTTTTAATATACATACAAATATACATACAAATAAGTGGTTTATTTTAGTAATCAATCATAATAATGTTTAAAATTGAGTATGTCAACTCTATGATACTCTCACAAACGTAGTGATTCTAAAACTTGCAACGTTTAAATGACTGGATAGCTAGATCACTTTAGCATCTAAATTAAATTAATTTCCGGCAATCATCATGAGAAAAAACAGGTTTGTCTAATATGTACTACATTTCATATTTAGAGCACACAAAGCTTATATAATTGTATTTGTAATCGGAAATACATTCAAACTACACTAAGTATAACTAATTCACCTGTGATAATTAAAAGAAAATTACAAGACGGCAGTTAATTTATTTTTATTTACAAATATTAAAAGATTTTAATAATTTGTGTTACAGTGCGAATCGTTTTTAAGTTGTCATATAAAGTTTCCCACATAGTAAAGCAAAATGCTAACTTAAATACACCCCTGTATTTTAATATGAATTAGTTAATTTTTTTAAAATAATTATAATTGAGGTTTTAAAATACAATATCACTTTTGATCTGAAAACAAATAATATAACCACGCTTTTTCCAAAATAAAAAAACAAAACCAAGGATAAAGGAATCGTGTTATGTGCTCGTTTTTACTTCTTATATAATATTATTTAAAAAAACAATACTAATCTAATAATATACTAAGTCAGGTCTCTTGGAACTTTAGTCATTTATTATTATCGTAGAGAAAATATAAAAATTTTTATTAAAAATTCTAATACTTTTAAAAAAAAATATTCTCTTAACTTTATTAATATGTAAATTTAAGGTATAATGTAAAAATGCTTACGATAAACAAGAAATTTTTAGAATTTCAAATATTTTTTTTACATGAATCAGCAAGTAAAACTCAAATAACAACAACATAAGAGTGGATCTATAGATCCCGACTATAACATGAATATTCTAGAAAAAAAACAGCTTCCATATAAAGCAATTTATTCATATTTTTTAATTTACTTTAAAGGATAAACGTGTACGTCTTTTACACACACAGAACACATCTTTTTTTTTTTAGTAGGTAAAATTTTACACAAAAATATTACGGATAATTTATAGCGTAACTCATAAAGTTCTGTATAAATAAATGATTAATATAAATGTTATGTAAACACAATAATCAGTATCACGTTGTTTTTTTTTCTAAGAAAACACAAAAAATTTATTAAAAGCGAAAATGAACAAGTTTAGAAGGGCTTAAGGAATGGATAAAATTTTCTTAGAACATCTACATACTTATACTTCAATTATTAATAAATTTTCTTAAAATATTTTTACGTGTGTAAACATTTTATTATTTATAAATGGAAATAATGTTACCAGTTATTACTTCATTTAGTCAACAAAATGCTTAAAAGTCGACAGGAGACTCAAACCCACTAATATTATAATTAGAAATCTAGAAAGATCTATAAAATAGTTAACTATCAAACGCATTAAAATGCTATGTTTACTTTTTGACATTTAAAACAAAATTAATCAGAAACTCCGCGGCAACTTGCCAAATTTACTTAGAATATTAATTGTCTATCTGCCCACCATTATAATATTAATTTTGTTATTTTATTAGAATGAGTTTATGTACTGAAAACAAGACATCGGCCGAACTGTTGATTAATTTTATATGAAAACTTAATTTATATTTATTGGATGACATCAACATATCAGTAAAGATAACAACACTAGTTTTCAAATGGAATTGTTTTTATTAGTATAGCAGTAGTAATAGTAGTAGTAGTAAAAGTATAAGCAATAATAGTAGTAGTACTAGTAGTAGTAGTAGTAGTAGCAGTAGTAGTAGTAGTAATAGTAGTAGTGGTAGTAATAGTAGTAGTAGTAGTAAAAGTACTTGGAACACCGCCGTCACGCGAAAGCAAAAAACTTAGTCATCAAGAGATCCATCGGCAAATCTCTATAATACATAACATCCTTCCATTTTGCTCAAGAAACAGCGACTCGACTGCCTCTTTTCTCGCCAGTAAAGCCAATAGAGCCACTGTTCCCGCCCCCACCATCCTTGATGTCGTATATACTTGAATGTTATTGCCACCCTAAACCACTTCTTCTTTCTCCTATAATTTACTTATTTATAATGCCAAATGTTCGCCCAAATGCAAAGCACGGAACCATCAATTTCTGTCATCTCACCAAACGTCTGTACGTAGCCTACTCGTCAGTTTTTTCATTCAGCCTGATATTTATATAAATAAAATTACAAATACATGAAAAACATTTTCAAAAACTACAATAAAATGTGTTGTGGTAACACTTAATATTCAACCCATTTAAAAAATATGATGCATTAATATAAAAAAAAAAATTTTTTTGTTTTTAATAAAAATCCACTCTAATACTGATGCAATCACAAAAATTTATAATGCAATAAAATT